TCTTTCATTTGTGATCTTGTTTATTTGTGCTTTCTCCCGTTTTTCCTTTGTGAGCCTGGCTAGGGGTTTGTCTCTCTTATTTATTTTGTCGAAGAACCAGCTTTTGGCTTTATTGATCTTTTGGATTTTTTTTTAGTTTCAATTTCATTTATTTCTGCTTTGGTTTTTATTATTTCTTCTACTGGTTTTAGGGGTTTTTTGTTGTTCTTTTTCTAGATCTTTGAGATTAGGTTGTTTCTTTGAGTTCTTTCTTGTTTCTTTTCCCAGAGTTCTTTAGTTCCTCCATTAATTCTTTGATCTCCTGCATTTCTTTTATTTCCCTCTTTAGGGACTCTATTTCCTTCTTCTGATCTATCACTTTTTTAATCATGGCAATTTTAAATTCTCTTTCTGGAAGGCTCAGAAGTTCTTCCAAGTTGCTGTCGTTGCAATCTGGGGAGTGGTTTTCTTTTTGTGGTGTGCTTCTTTCCTGAGGAGTTGTTAGGTTGCGTGTGGTTCTTCTACTCCCTACTGTCTGTTTTCTAATTTGTCGTATGCGTTGGGACACTGTGTTGCTCGGACTGACTGGCATCTTGGGTGAACTTCTCCGCTCCCCTCTGGCTCTTCCAGGAGCCATCTCTGTCTTCTGGGGGAGCTTTCTGCTGGTTTTAGGCAGTTTTTACTGAAGAAATGTCCCTGTTCTAAAATGGCGAAGCGGGATGCAGTCCCTGCGCCTCCGGTTTCAGGCACACTCTTCTGCGCCCCCGGTCTGCCCCGGACGTGGGTGCCTGCTCCCTCTGTGGGCTCAGACTGCTGGTCGGAAGGGGCCTGGCGTGGGGTGGGCTAACTTCCCGGCTGGCCACTGGGTCCTCCAGAAGCCTTCTGCCCTTTTCAAGCAGTCTTAAGAAATTTCCTGTTCTATGGGGTGTTAGTGACTTTTTTTTCCTGGTCGCTAGGTGGCGCCAGAGATCTCTCCTATTGTCCTTGGGGGGCTGTTTTTCGCCCCCCCCACCCCGTGGGACAGGGAACAGAGCGGGAATGGTAGGGTAAACCTCAACAGCTTTGGGGTGCTGTGTCTGCCTTGTGCCCCACCGTCGTGGGGAACCCACGCCCCTAATTTCGTGCCCCGGGTCTCAGTTCAAAGCCCTCAGGTCCAGGACGCAGGCTGTAGCCCAGTTCAGTGGCGCGGGAATGGCGCCTTTTGCACCCCGCTCCCGTGCCTGGGCGCCTGGTTCCTGCTTACTCAGGGAGGGACCTTCACCTCAGTGAGGACCTCCGCGCGTCTCCCCGCAAGCCTAGGTCGCAGGCGCGGGGACCTGGGCCGCTGCGATCCCGGTCCGCGTTTTCTTTTCAAGCGCGCCAAGCGCGCTGCTTTCCCGCGCAAGCTTACCGGCAGCCCTGGCTGTGTGCACGTCTCCCGGGGTCTTTGTTCTTCTCTAATGGCGCCCGGAGCCGTTCGCTCACCGCCGCGGTGAATCCTGCAGGGTTCGCCTCAGCTCCCGTTCACGGGGTGTGGTGGCTGCAATAGTTCCTTTCCACTCCCAGTCCCGCTTGCTGCGTCGTTTGTTCTTGTTGGCCGTTTTGGTTTGTTGTTTTCCTCCTCTCTGCCGGTCGGAGAGTGCCGCCTCTGTGGGCGGGGGAGGGGAGCAGGGTTCTGCGCTTCCCTCCCTTCTAGTCCTCTTTTATGGCCACTTCTTCGGGTAGTTTGCTGGAGTCACCCTTTTATCTTCCGTGTCCCAGTTCTCTCTGGGACCTGCCGCTTTTCCTCCCTATTAACTTTTTTTAATGGGAGATCTTACTCGCAGCGTCTCCTCGCCGCCATGTTGCTCCTCTTTCTTGTTTCTTTATGTGAGCCTCTACTGCTATATATTTTCCTCTTATTACTGCTTTTGCTGCATCGCATACATTTAGGAAATTGGTGTCCTCCTTGTCATTCAACTCAAAGAATTTTTGAATTTCTTCTTTGATCTCCTCATTAGTCCAGTGGTCTTCCAGTAGTGTGGGTTTCAATCTCCATGAGGTAGGAGAGTACCTTGCCTTCTTTTTATGGTTTATTTCTAGCTTGATGCCTTCATGGTCAGAAAAGATGGTTGGTATGATTTCAATCTTGGTGTATCTGTTGATGTTTGTCTTGTGTCCCTGTATGTGATCGATCCTAGAGAATGATCTGTGTGCGCTTGAGAAAAATGTGTACTCAGATTTTTTTGGGTTTAGTGTTCTATAGATGTCTGTTAAGCCCAGGCGCTCTAGAATCCTTATTTAGAGCTTTAGTGTCTTAACTTATTTTTTATCTCGTTTATCTATCCATTGTTGATAGTGGTGTGTTGAAGTCTCCCACTATGCATGTGTTTTCTCTGATGTCTGTTTTCAGAGATGACAATAGTTGTCTGATATATTTTGGTGCTCCTTCGTTTGGTGAGTATATGTTAATGAGTGTTATTTCTTCTTGAAGTATTGTCCCCTTGATCATAATGTAGTGACCATTGGGGTCTCTTTTTATCTTTTTGAGTTTGAAATCTGTTTTATCTGATAGAAGTATAGCTGTTCCTGCTTTCTTTTTTGGTCCATTTCCTTATAGGATTGTTTTCCATCCTTTAACTTTGAGTCTATTTTTGTCTTTTGTAGCTAAATGTGTTTCCTGGAGACAGCAAAAAGTTGGGTTTTGTTTCTTAATCCAGGCTGCAACTCTGTGTCTTTTCATGAAGAGTTTAGTCCATTTACATTTAGTGTTAATATTGATATGTTACATCTGTATTTGCCATTCTGTTTGTCTTTCCTCTGGTTTTATTTATTTATTCTTTTAATAACTTTTTTTTTTTGGCCTTTCGTTGTTATTCATCCCTCTGTTGGTTCTGGCTTTAGGACTCCTTGTAGTATTTTTTGGAGTGGGGGTTTAGTCGTAATGAAATTCCAGAGTTTCTGTTTGTCTGGGAAGGTCCTTATTCTTTCTTCATAGAGAAAGGAAAGTTTTGCGGGATAGAGTTTGCTTGGTTGCATTTGTTGTCTTGGAGCCTGTTGACCATGTCCCTCCACTCTCTCCTTGCCCGTAGCGTTTCTTCAGAGAAGTCTGATGTCAGTCTGATTGGTTTTCCTTTGAATGTTATCTGTTTCTTCCCTCTTGCCAGCTTCATTATTTTTTCCTTGTTGGATTCTTGTATCTTGCTGTATTTTTCCTTTCGTCATGGAAGTTTCATGTTCTTCTTGCTTCTTGTATGTCTGTTTTCATCTCCTTCATGTTTGGGAAGTTCTCTTCAATTATTTCCTTGAATATTTTCTCTGTTCCTACGTCTCTCTCCTCTCTTTCTGGGATTCCTAGAACTCTTATATTTCCTTTCCTCATGGAGTCAGATAGTTCCCGAAGTCTTTCTTCTTTCTTTTTCCTTCGTACTTCTCTTTCCTTTTCTGTTTTGGTTCTTTTTATTTCTGTGTCTTCAGGAATACTTATTTGTACTTCCATTTCATCTATTCTGCTTTCATTGCTTTTCCCAGAGTTCTTTAGCGCCTCCATTGATTCTTTGATCTCTTGCATTTTTTTTTACTTCCTACTTTAGGAACTCAATTTCAGTCTTCTGATCGTTATTTTTCCCTTGTCATATTTTACTTTTTTCAGATTTTTAATCATGGCAGTTTTAAATTCTCTTTGTGGAAGGATCAGAAGTTCTTCCAAGTCACTGTCGTTGCAATGTGGTGGGTGGTTTTCTTTTGTGGTGCGTCTTTTTCCTGAGGAGTTGCTAGGTTATATGTAGTTTTTCTTCTCCCTGCTGCCTGTTTTCTAATTTGCCGTATGCGTTGGGATACTGTGTCGCTGGACCTGGCCAGCATCTTTTTGGTGTGCTTTTTGTGGGGTTTCGGAAACTGGTGGTTCAAACAAGTCAAATACTGTTAAGCCAGAGCTCTAGTGAGGCAGTGGTACTTTGAGTATGTTAATGGTCGCTGTTACAGAATATCTCCTCCTCCTGTGTTTAATTACAAAGGTGTGTCCTGAAGTCCCACAAACTTCCCTGGATGTGGGGCAGCTGGATTGCACTCTGGGTTCCAAATCACTGGATGCCCCTCTGGGCTCCAACTTCCTGCCAGGCAGGACCAGGCTTGTGGGGGCCTTCAGTTCACCTCTGACTGCGCAGGGAACCTTCTCCCTCTGGCTCCGCGGGTAGCCTTCTGCCAGTTTCAAGCAGTCTTTATTGAAGAAAGGTCCCTGTTCTAAAATGGCGATGTGGAGACGCACTCCCCTGCGCATCCAGTCTGCCCCGGCCATGGGTGCCCACTACCCCTCTGGGCTCCGACTGCTGGCCAGAAGGTGCCTGGCATGGGCAAACTTCCCAGCTCACCTGTGGCTCCGCCGGGAGCCTTCTGCCGGTTTCATGCAGTCTTTATTGAAGAAAGGTCCCTGTTCTAAAATGGTGATGCGAAGCACAGTTTACAATAGCTAAGCTTTGGAAACAACCCAAATGCCCAAAAATAGATGACTGGATCAAGAAGATGTGGTACATTTACACCATGGAATATTACTCAGCATTCAAAAAAAGATAAACACATGCAATTTGCAGCAACATGGATGGCGCTGGAAGGGATCATGCTCAGCGAAATAAGCCAGAAAGAAAAAGAAAAATACCGGATGGTCTCACTCATAGCAGGAATCTAGAAAACTTAAATAAGGGACCAGGAAAATGAATAACTATAAGAAAGTGAAAATCAAAATCAACAAACATCTATGAACCAGAGACACTCTATGGGGTGTGGGGGGCGGGAAGGGGAGGGATTGGGGTCAAAATAAGGGGGTTGCAATTGTATGGGGAGTATAAAAATAAAATTTATTAAAAAAAATAATAAAATAAAATGGTGATGCAGAGACGCACTCCCCTGCGTGCCCGGTCTGCCCTGAGGTGACATTCTTTTTCATTCATCAAAGGGTTTTAAGATCAATATCAAATTTCCATCAATAAATCCTTTTTTTTTTTTAATTTAAGAAAAGCCAAAATTATAGTGTTTGCATTTGTTTATTGTCTCCCTTCCCAACCTAGAAACGGTGGAAAGAACTTTCTAAGGAAGACTTATGTCCTGCTTTTGATCATTCACCAACCAAAATAATGACTGAAAAATATAATGGGAACAGGATAGGCCTAGAAGAAGAAAAACTGACGGGTGACAAATATACAGGATTATCTTCTAAAATGCAAGATGCTATGGAGGAGAACAGTGAGAGGTAAGCTGGCTGCAATAACGTGGTTGAAAAGATGAGAATTTTTATTTTATTAAGTTCAATGGATATGAATATAGGCCCCCTCTTTTAAACTTAATGTACCTATTATTTTTTACCTAAGAGTATTTAGGTATGTGAGTTTTCATGTGATTGATGTGTGTGTTTTCAGTCCTTTTAAGAAACCAATAATTACAAGGAGAAGTCAGTTTGAAAATGCTTTAAAACAATACTAAATTGAGTGCAGAAGTTAGTGTGATTTGATACTAATATGTATACTGTGGTACAATAAATAAATTATGTAAATCACTTGTCATTTGTACAGTTATCTTAGGGTTTGTACTAAAGTAATAATGTATGGGGTTGTCAGAAAAGTCTTGACACATTTTTGCTAGAAAAAAATAGTCATGACTTTTGCAACAACCCAATAATTGCAAATATGCATGCCTTTAGTAAGATTATAAAGTATTTAAGTGAATATTTAAACAATTCAATTATTAAAAGAGGAAAAAATCTTTTTCAAGAAAACCCATAAAATGCTGCTTTATGCTTTTTGAGTTTTGAATCCAAATAAAAGAGTAAGTTGTTTCAGGTTGGCTGAACATAGCAAATCAGGAAAACCACTCACAAGTTGCAGAGTGATTGCCAAAGGTGTTTTATTTGGGAGGGGCCAAGGGATATGTCCATATATGTTATAGGTAACTTCTTCCATCCAAGATAGATTACAGCAGGGTTTGAAAGTAGAGGGATTGTCCCAATGGGAAAGTGAGGATTGTGAGCAGAGAGGACTAAATAAGGGAGCAAAGTTAGAGGAAAGTTATAGCATAAAATATAGATTACCCAGGAATCCTTTATTCTTCTGTCCCAATAAATTTTAATACTGATCTTTAGCTTTGCATTAGAGATGCTAATAAATCTAAATCTTATGGGAAGAATTTCAGTATGATATTTTATTCTTTTTTATTAAATATCCTCCAAATTAGGTCATATTCTTATAATCATGAAATCAATTTAGTGACTTACAAAAAGCATTGTTTTAAATAATAGAATGTAATAAATAGAAGTTGGAGTCTAAGGCAATAAAATATATCAAGCATCACAAATAGTAATATAAAGTTTGTGTGTTTACATACATACTCTTTATATACATAAATGTGTGAGTGTGCTGTGTGCACACACGAACATATGTACAGTCACTCAGTTTCGATGGTAAAATATTTCCTGCAGTAGGTTGCTGTCAAGGTTTGAAAACTAGTATTTCCCAGAGCACTGTGATTGGAGAACAATTTGGATAAATGAAAAGGCACATGAACCTACTCCTGTGTATTTAAATAGTGTAAAGTGAGTCTGTTGAAACATGTAATGGCAGTAGTCGGCTGTGCTACTGTGTGAGTAATGTCACTCTTCCATTGCCAAGGGACACAGGACTCTTCCATTAAGACATTTCCTTTATAGCCTAAACTGTAAAAACATAAGGGGAAACCCAGCCAAGTCACACTTGGCAAGGTATATTATGCAGACATAGCTTCCTGAGGCCCAGCTAGATTGAAAAGGATCTGACTTTGTCATATATTGGGAATAATCCTTTACATCTTGGGGATTGTTTTCTTAGTAAAAAGCATCCCTTGGTATTTGTGTTCATTCCATTCTTGAAAACATGCATAGTTATTTTGGGAACGTAAGCACCCATTTCCATTATTTTATATGGAATAATTGTGTTCTGAGCTCAGTTGGTATCCCCAAATATAATAAAAATCTTCCTACTCTCATATATACCCAGTTATTTAAAGCTCCAATAATATAATCATGTAACGCCCAGTATGCTCATAATTGGGTTTATATGGTAAACTACATTACTGTTCTATACTGGATTAAAATTATAATTGTCTCCTGTATTACAATGAAAGGAAAAAATGAAATATATTAAAGATTTCATCTAAATTGGAACCTAATTGATGGTAGCTCCAGGCTCCTGGCAGAAGCAAATCTAGGTACCTATGAAAGACTAGCCCCATGGGTGGGAGCTTTATATATATTTGTTTATTTTATATGTGTTTTGCATGCACTTGAATACAACTTAAAATTATTTTACTGGTGAATTCACACATTATTTGCCATAGTGAATTTTTATCTCACAGAGTGAATTCTGAGTAATAATATTTACAAGTCATTATAGGAAATGTTTAGGTTAAGTTTGGAGCCAAAGATACTTGTGTGTGTGATAAGTAAAAGTGAAAAAGATATTAGAAAGCACTATAGCACTTAAACAAAATATATTTAAATTGCAAATATATTGCGGAAGGTGAAGCAAAAACCCAAATTAGAAACAAAAATTGTTACTATAAATTAAGAATAGAAGCATTTTTTTTCAAGATTTATTTGTTTATGCATACGAGAACTGGGGTGTAGACCAGAGAGGTACAGGGGATGAGAGGATTCACCAGAGGGAGTGGGGAGTAGAAAAGACAGACCTACTAAAATCTTACACTGCTGAGGGGAGCAACGGGCAAGACAGGAGAGGTCTGCTGTGGTTGGCTTGGGGACACTTGATTGAGTGTGTCTTTAACCCCTGCACCACCAGGGAGGTCCTCGAAGCATTTTTTAGGAAATGAAAGGCACTTAGAGGAATTGAAATGAAAGGCCCAGAGAAAATAGAACATTTCAGTAGAGAAGCAAATTTGAAGAAAAGCTAAGGACCGCTTGGGCAGGAGCAAAGTTGTACATAGCAGGATGCTGAAAGATTTTTGTGTAGATATAAGTTTTCAGTTGCCTCAGGTGTATACCTAGAAATGTAACTGCTGAGTCATACAATAACTATATGTTTAATATTTTGAGGAACTGCCAAACAGTTTTCCACAGTAGCTATAGCATTTTACAATACCACTAGCAATACCTGAAAAGTCCTATATTCCAACAATATTTAGCATTAATAAAGTCCTCTAAAATATTTTACAGTATTTTAATTTCTCTGTTTAAAAAAATGCACCTTATAACTTAAAAAATAAAACACTTTAGTGAGATAATTTACATACCATAAAATTCATTCATTTAAAGTGTACTGTTTAATGGATTTTAATATGTTTAGAGTTAGGTAGTCATCACCATAATCTTATTTTGGAACATTTTCATCAACCCAAACTCTAGCTATTTTAAAAAAAAGAGATCCATTTGAGGATCTTGCATTGTATTTGGTTGATGCGATTACTTAGTCTCCTTCAGCCTGAAACTGCTTGCCACCTTTTTTTTCTTAACAGCATTTTTGCAGCTTCTAAACCAGCTCCTTCTTAAAAAAGCCCTACAATCATGATTGTTCCTCATGATTACATTCAGACAAAATGTTTTGACCAGGAAAAAAGTTGGCTTTTAGTGTAGTAGACATCGAGGAGGATTTTAAGGTGTTTAAGGTTATTTTAAGTGATTGGGTTGTTGGAAAAATTGTGGCACGTTTTTGCTTGAAAAACAGAAAAAATACATCATGACTTTTCTGACAACCTATAATATATGATCAAAATTATGCTTTAGAAAAATTACATTAGCTATTTTTAATTTGGAGGCAGGGAAACATTAATTTTGCTGTAATATAAGCAATACGTGAAAAGAGGGGATTGATTTTGTGCAATTTTTAAAGGAAAGAAATTCTAACAAATGTTGCCATTGGCCAGTCTTTCATATGTAGTCCTAGAGCTGTATATCTTGGGAGTCAAAGAGCTTCTGTTAGAACAAAAATATTGTAGTGAATAGGAAAATGGAAACAGGCCACATATGGACAAACAGAACAGTGGGCACTCCCACAGCAGAATATTTAGGAACATTTTAAATAGATAGCTTTTGTCAGGGGCCTTTGAAAAATCAGTCTTAAATACCAAAAGAGATCAGACACTGGAGAACACACATGTCTTCCTATTTCTGCTAGAAAGAAGGTAAATTGACAGCTATAGTTCATGTTTCAAGACAAGAAAGCACCATGTTTTCAGGTCCTGCTGAAAGTGTGAAATAAGAAACTACATAATTTGTCACTGAACTAGCAGAGTACATCCCTAGATCATTTAGAATATTGAGGCTTATATCTTTTTATTCCAATATTTGAATGAGTTAAACTGTGTGTGTATGTGTGTGCGGTTTTTACTTGTGCTATGAGATCCTCTGAATTAATGAAATTAAGTCCTATTCTTCTTTTTATTTGTTTTCCTTTACATAGTGTTTTAAGGAAACGTATCCGAGAGGACAGAAAAGCTAATACAGCTCACAAGGTGCAGCAGATGAAACAGAGGCTAAATGAGACTGAACGAAAAAGAAAAAGGTGGTTATATTGGCAACCTATTCTCACTAAGATGGGGTTTGTGTCAGTCATTTTGGTTGGCGCTTTTGTTGGCTGGACACTGTTTATTCAGCAAGCTCTCCTATAATTAATTAATTTTGCCCAATAAGCTTCTGCACTAGTAGCTAATAGTGTTGCATTAATTACAAGGGTTTGTCTCTTAACAAACTCCTCATTCCCCCAAAAACAGTGCAATAGAATAGACACCAACCAGAGAAGTGATGTATTCAGTCCCAGCCCAACATCTCAGGATGCTGCTCCCAAACTGTAAATGGCTACCTAAAATAAAGACTTTAATGCTTGTTTAAAACTGGTACATTTTGCAACTGTATTCATACATGTTAGGCATAATACTTCACCGGACCAGACTGAAAAATCCTTTATCACAGGATTTGTTTTTGGAGGCTATTTGGATTTTAACCTGCACTTGATAAAAGCAATAAATATTATGGTTTTATCTACATTATTACTAGAAAGTAAAATGATCTTTAAATAATGTGTGTATTGTATAATGTACTATTGATATGGGCATCAACATTTTATATTCTTAAACATTTCAGGGTGTATACATTTTATAAGTATTTAATCTTTTGTAGTTAAATAAACTTTTTAAAAGCTCAATTTGAAAAATATGTAACCATAAAAAAAATAAAGTGTATGTTGATTCAATTGTGCTGGATACATTTTCCTAAAGAAAAATTTAATATGAGCAGTTAGAATTCTGAATAAGCAATTTTTACTTTATATTTGCATTTCTTTTATGTTTTACAGTTTTCCCAATTTTAAAAAGAAAAACAAAGAAACAAAAATTTTCCCTAAAAATAACTTTGAAGGAAAATTCTCCTTACTGGCATAGTCAGGTAACAGTTGGTTAAGACTTTGTAAAGAAATCGGTTTCTGTAAAGCCCATTATTAATACTGTCTATTTTCATGAAAATTTTGATGCAATTATCCTAATTTGCAATTGGGGTAAATCATGATTTAGGAAATAAATATAAGGAGAAGTTATATTTCAAGTTACTAGTCTGAAGTTTTGAAGTAAAAATATTTCCAGGTTCTTTCTTCAGTAATAATTTACTTAAATAAATAGTATGATGATGTATAAACCTTACATTGTCCCTTTAACTTCTTAATGGGTGTTTTTAAAATATATTGTTTATTGAATTTAACTGCTCATTTAAGTGCTAGCTTTCTTCAGATCCCAACATTCCCTTCAGTGTTAATTTGTTTGACTTTAACTAGTTGTTAAAATTTTAAGTTACTGAAATAATGAAATCACATTATTGTGGTTTTCAAACTCTGCTCTTTGGATTTCTAAGCAGTCACCAAGAGGTGCTGGGGAAGACTCTAAGCTACCGACCTTTGCTTTCAGCCAGACTATCTCTGTTTTATGTTTTATATACTATATAAGATTTCTGCATGAAGCAAAAGTATTTGAAGGGGACAGTTGCAGTTTTAAAAGCAGTTTGAAAACCATTGGTATAGCTATTTTGAGTCAATGTGAGTAACCTTTCTGAATGTGTTAAATTATGCTGAAAATGTGAAAGCAGGATGTAGGTGGTACTACATATTAAATAAGATTTGTATAACTTGTCCTGTGTCCTAATTCAGTATTACTGTGTCCTTTAACCTTTAAATGGAAAGGAGGTAAGAGGGAACTTTCTTTACATCTGTCTGCATTAAACCTATGCTCAGGACTTAAGACCCTTACATTTTAGGTCACTGTTGGTTTAAAATCTTTCTTTCCAAATTGCCTTGGTTTATCTTTACTAAAATTCAGTTTGTTAGATAGATAGAACATGTTATGTTATGGATAGATAGAACATGTTAAATTTCTATTGAAGACAGCCTTGCTTTAAACAAAAAGGTAAAGATTTCTTATAGGAAACAAATTATAATAACCATACACGCATGGCCCCTTTGCAGGGTGAGTTGGACTCAATATTTCAACTTTACTTTTTGTCTGCCTTTGGTATTTCTGGGTGGTGTTTCTTGTAAGTGTTCAGGATAGTGAACAATTAGTGATGAACTTCTCTAAGAATTAATCATCTTTCCTCCTCCAAGCAGATCCTTACAGATAGTGTTGTTTTTGCCAGTAAAAATTTTGGTGGATGCCATGTACTAATTATTTAAAATTCTAGTTTAAAATAAACTAGAATTGGATGGTACGAAGTAAAAAATGAATATTGATTTAAAAAGCAATTTGGGACATGGAATAATAATCCAGTTTTATGTCCATTCCTTCTATGCTTTCAGCATCAATTCAGGGTGATGGTGACTACCATTTACTGTGCCAGGCACTATGCTAAGAGTTTTTTATAATATTATTCTGTTTAATCCGCACATCAAATTTTTAAGGTAGGTGTCAATGATAGCAATTGTTAAGCCATAATCTGCCCAAGACTTGACATTTCTGTATCCTTTTGTGGAACTATCATTGAAAAAGTCTCATATGGATAGTATATTTTAGAACAAGGTAATTCTCAAAGACTTATCTTCTGTAAGTCATTTCCCTCTTAGATTGTATAAATAGACCCAGATCACCCAATTATAACTATTTTATTCACTATTACACCCTCTTTTTTAATGAATCCTTGTGATTTCCTAAGTTCCTGCCTGCATATTGTGCAGTTTTAATTATTCTGCTTTGATTTTTACTTTAAGATACAGATCTTCTAGAGATTTTTTTTTCCCATGTAGTCTGTTACAAACCCAATACCATTACATGTATCTCTCATTTCTTCCTGTGTTCCAGCATAAGTCTTGGAATCGCTCCTTAAACAGGGCCTTATTTTTTCTTCCAGTTAGTTCTTGTAGGTCAGTAGGGCAGAGAATATAAAAGAAGGATATTGCTGTCACTCTGCAGTGCACTTAACCAGGGGGGGCAGGGTAGCTGAGGTCAGAACTTGATGTGTCCCTCCCTGCCTGGAACTGAGTACATAGCAGACCCGTCTGTGCTGTGTTCTCATTTGTCCACTGCCAACAACTAAGTCCTTTTTACTTTAAGCAGCCCTTATTTGACTTTCACTTACTTAGATGGTTGTGACAGAAAAAGATGACAGATAAAACTTTGAAAAATAGAATCATAATATCTTCCCACCTAATTAAGTTCTCCTGACTTAACAATACCGATTTTGGTCATTCCTGGATGATTATTCTGGGAGTTGGCCTGTTTTCCTTCATCTTTTTTCCCAGTTCATGTTTGGACTTGATTCCATTTTTTCTTATTCCTGTCTTCAACTGAATCAGAAGCTGTTTATGGGACAAAAATACCAACAGCCACTACAACAGTGGATAATTAGGAATTACAGCTACTTCCTCTTCCATTGAAGATGTTGAGTGTTACGGTGTCAAGGTGGGGAGACACTCGGGTTGTGTAAGTCTCACAACACCTGCTCAGGTGGGAAGCCTCAGCCGGACACTGCACACTCACTGTATTCCATGTACCTGGCTATAATAGAGCCATTTCATTCTTTATCCAGATTTGGGGATTTTAAGTTACCCACTTTCTCAGGTAGTGTTCTGAAGAAAAAACTTCTAGGAAAATAGTATGAATTTGGCTGTCTCATTTTTCTCTCAGCAGCAGGAATTTTCTCAATATTCACTACGTTCAGATTGTTCCAAGAACAACATTGAGCAATTCTGCACAAATGCTTTTCCTCAGCAGTCTTCAGAGAAACGGTTATCTCCTTTGGCTACTGGATTCTGGAAACATCTTGGGAGAAAAATTTCTTTCTTAGTATCATTGCTGATTCTCTCATCATGTTGTGTGCTTTTTACTCCATCACAGAGCATTGCCCTGTCTGTTTACAAGAATTATTTGCTGGCTTGAGAGGCTTTGTTTTTATCAGTAATAACACCCTAACAATGAAAATATTTGAAAGAGCTCTGAGCATCTCTGTGCAGTCCATTTGGAGAATGAAAATTTCAATCTTTGGAATTCTATTTTGGTTTTATAACTAAAAGTGGAATATGAGGATTGTAGGATTTAATACTGTGTTATAGAGTATGCTGTAATAATATGTTTTTCCATTACATAGTATGTTTTGGGTAGCTGCATTCCTTAAAAGTTGTAAAGAAAAAACACCAAATTATTCTTTATGGTTGCTCTGATTTGGCTTAGTTTTTTTTTTTTTTTTTTTTGGTCATATGATGCTTGTTGATATTTCAAATTTTTACTGTACAGAAAGTTACTTTGAGTTTGGTGAATTCAGGAAAGGGAAAGTAGGTAAGTTGATTTTGCCTATAAGCAGTACTCTCTTTAGAGAAATTTTTATGATTCTTTTCAGTGAAACAGTGTGAATATGTAGTGGCAAAACTTTGGTAGGCACAGTTTGACTTTAGTCATGGAGCTGGCTTGGAAAGTTATATGGCTCCATCTGTAAAGCTGACCCGTGCACCTCTCCTTGACAGTGCGTGGAAGGACAGTAGGCAGTGCTTGCGGGCCACTTTGCCCAAGGATAGCACAAGGCACCGCTTATTCAATTTGATCTGTTTGAGCCCATTTTATTTTTGCTTTGTTAAATAAAAAAATTCAAATTGGACATTTTTTCTAAAATGAAGTCCATTTTGTCTGTTTAGTCTTGCAAATAGTTTTTAAAAATAGTTAACACTAGTCCCAGTGTGTTCATCTCACTGTCTTATCCCTGAGAATATTTATAGAGGGAAAAAAATGTGACTTTTCAAATTATCTTTTAGTTGTAAATTATCACTCATCCTTGGTAAGAGTATCTTGAATACACTGCTGGGGGGACAACTGTATTTTGAACATCTATAGTTCTGCTGATCATTTTAAATTCATAATGTAAATCTAACCTGCGTAACTCTTCTAGATACATCATATTATCCTGACTTTCAGATAAGGAAACTGAGTCAAAGAATAAATAACTTGCCCAAGATCACAGCTTGTACACTAGAGAACTGAGATTCAAACTGATCTGTAGAATTCCAGTTAATTCCAAACTTTATGCTTTCTTCCAATTTGTTACACTTACTCTGTTTTTATGGAATATTTAAACCAAATATTTAAATAGAGAAATATTTAAGTCCAGAGTTAATCTTCATTATTTTTAAGTGATGCAAATCACAGTTTTTATCAAGTTTGAACTACCACTGAACCAGAGAAATACAGAAATAGCAGAATATTCTCTAAACCAAGCCATTATTTAATTCACTTTAATTGATAGCATTAAGTTCCTGTGTTTTAGAGACCAGGTTTCTTGAATGCATGGGAAATATGTATATAGTATGCAGCATCAGAATCAATAAGAAGTGACTTTCCCACTGCTGCGACCACTTCGGCACAGGTTCCATTGATAATGGCAATAGGCAGCTGTAGTAGGGGCCCACAGACATCTAATGAGAATGTCTTCTTGATGACTTGACATTTCTCTTGTCAGTTCTATAAAAGCAGATAAAAGGTATTCAGAACACCTAAGTGTGTATAACTACTATGCTTTCTTCAATAGAAGTACCAACAGGCAGGAAGAAGCTCAATTTTGACTAAATGTGTGGATGTGATTTATATTTTCTACTTATATACATGTGCAAAGACAATTACAAAATTACATTTGAGTGATGGGTTTTTTGTTTTTGCTTTTTGTGATAAGGGAAAGAAAGGAATTACCATATACCTCAGAATGTTAGCTGCTTACAAATACTGTGAAATAACATTAAAAATTTAGCCTGCCCTTAAAATAGCTATTTCATCTGTCTATTGCTTGTTTAAACTCTAACTTTTACTTTTTGGCATATGAAAATACAATAAATCTATCAATTATTTTATGTCTGTGTTTTCTTTTGTAATTGATAATAACTTAAATCATGTTACTTCAGTTCTATAATGTTATAATCATTAGCGTTATCCTTCAAGACAAAAAGACAAAAAGCATGTTCTGGCAGTCCATGATTTAAAGATATAAGCCAAATTTATGTTCATACATTACATTCATAATATTTTTAGCAGTATGATACAGTGGAGGTCCCAAATTGGATTAGACTTTTGCATTGAAATCCAAAGTATTGGTAAGTCTAGCACATATAATCTTGCTAAACTGTTGTGGGTACTTTTTTTTAAACCTGTCTGTCTGTCAGTATTTCACATAAAAGTAATATGTTATGCAGAGTGACTTAAAAAAAACTCAGTGATTCTTGAAAAAGAATGTGAATTCTGGTGTGTTAACATGAGTTAACCTCACACCACCAAGTCTTTGAAAATTGAGCACATAAGCAGTTTTACTAAGATAACAGTGGAGCACTTAGTGTGGTTGTGATATGTTGGAATGTTTTTTGGTTCCCTTTTGAGTTCTTGTTAGTCCTTTTATGTCTGTACATCTATGTATGTCAGTGTGTTTGGTAAATATGAATTGAATAGATGACTTCTTATTTTATGTTTTAGGCCAAGATTGACAGACACCTAAATATTCATGACTTGAGAATATTCTGCAGCTATAAATTTGAACCATTGATGTGCAAAGCAAGAACTGAAGCCCACTCCGGAAACTAAAGTGAGGCTTAATAAAACCTGTAGATTGCCTCACATTTGTCTGTTTACAAAGTAAACTTACATCCAGGGAATGAAGAGCACCACCAGCAGACGACTTTGCAGAACTCTCTAATTTGATGCATTGTTAAGTTTTTTTACTGTGTATATGAAATGTAGGAAGATGTAAAAAAAATAAATTAGGGAATACTACTTTGTATTGTACTGCCATTCCTACTGTATTTTTATACTTTTTGGCAGCATTAAATATTTTTATTAAATAGCCTTGGTTTGTGTGCATTATCTTAGGACAACTCTGCTCCAAATAATGTTCTTTTATGGATTTGCACTCAGTTTTATAATTAGAAATTGAAATTGGTTCAAAGTGTTGGTCACCTACTTTGATTTTTCTTTGGTTGCCCCTTAATCTTTCAATATAGGTTAGATATCTTTCAATATAGGTTAGATATTCTAACCTTCAATATAGGTTAGAAACAAAAGAAAAGTTAGAATATTTCTTTTTTGACTTGGGAAAATATATAATATCTTGCCTTAATGTCAAAATTAATTTCAATTAAGTACAGCAATAGTGCAGTTTTTTAAAATCAGTATGAATTCTGGTCCACAAGCATTTCCACAAGGGCTCTGTCCTGAATAGCTTTTGATTGCTTTACGAATTTCCCAATCAAGTGATGGACTTGGGTTATGTATCCAATCAGTTTTAAGTTAATAGTAATATTTTTGTTCAGAGATACTCAAATCTCTGCATCATGTGAATGTCACTTTAAAGATAAAACTCACAATTGTTTTCTGTTTTGCCAACTGTGAGTGTTTTTGTAATACCACTCATTGAATACATCTATTTCACCTATTGAAAATGTGACTTGCCTTATGTTCTTTTCTGCCTTGTCTTCCTGGACTTTTAATTTACATTTAGTAAGCAAACTCAGGCCTACATCTATCAGTGCAGAGTCTTTCCTAAAAGGCTACATGAAGAAATTATTTTACCACAAAATAGTACAGCAAATCTTCCCATTGTGTCAATAAAGCTTGAAAAAGCTATATTCAGCTACTTCTATTTCTTCATTTGCCATATAATCTTTACCACATTAAGTGTCTGACTTTCTTTTTATCACTCTGAAAATGACCCAGAAACTTCTTAGCTTGTTCTACAACAAATTAAGTTTTCATTCTTCATTCTTGCCTTTTATGACATTGATAGCAATCTCAAGAACACCTTCCCTGAAGCTTTCTGCTTAGACTTTTATAAAATCTCTCTTCTGGGTTTTTCTCATCTTAAGTCTTTGTAAGTTTTTTTTTAACTTACTGTGCAAGTACATTTCTAGTCAAGCTTTTTCACTCTGCTCAACTGAGTTTATGTCCAGTGCTTATTAACCCTTCACTTCTCCCTCTCACTGGCCCCTGACAGTCACCATTCTACTCTTAGATCCTGTGAATTAGACTATCTTAGATAACTTTATGTAAAAGGACTCATGCAGTGTTTGTCTTCCTGTGACTGGCTTTTCTCGCAGCATAATGTCAAGGTTCATCCACATTGTGGCATATTGCACAATTTCCTTTTTCAAGACTGAATAATGTTCCATTTTGTGTTTGTGTCATCTGTCAATAAGCATCTAGGCTGTTTTCATCTTAGTTATGAATAGTGCTGCAGTGAACATGAGAGTGCTAGAATCGCTTAGAGATCCTGATTTCAGGTATTTTGAATAAACAACCAGAGGTGGCATTGCTGGATCTTATTACCCTCCTGAAAATTTTTTGAGGACCCTCCATACTGTTCCATAGTGTTGAAACAATTTTCAGTTTCTCCACATCGTCACCGACACTTGTCTTTATTATTTTTGAAAGCTCTGATTAAGTAATGAATCAGTCCGCATCCCATCTTTCAAGTAGGAGGGCACTGTCTATACATAAATAATATCCTAGCGGAAAAGGTGATATTTTACTGTGGTTTTGTGCGCATTTTCCTCATGATAGTGATGTTAAGCTTATTTTCATGTACCTATCGGTCATTTGTCCGTCTTTGGAGTAACATTTATTCAAGTTCTTGGCTGCTTTTTAAACTGGGTTATTAATTTCCTTACTATTGAGTTGTAGGGGTTCCATATTTTAGAGGTTAACCCTTTATCAAACACATGGTTAAATAAGCTTTTCACCTATTCAGTTGGGTGCCTTTTCATTCTGTTGATTGTTTCTCTTCTGCCTTACTCTTGAGTATTGGCATTCCCAATTTTGGGGGCTTTTGATTTTTATAATTTTAACACACCTCAAATGATCTCATCTTTGCCCAAATCTTCATCTACTATCTCTCTGCTAATTATATGCAACTTCTTCAACTCCAGTCTAGTTACTGAGCATATATTTGGGTCCATCAGTGGTCACTGTATAAATTCCTTAACTTTAACATTGGATGATATCTCCATCCCATCCCATCTTCCTCCTGTGTTTTACATTTTATTTGGTGCCTCCACCAGAAATCTGAAATTCATTCTAAATTGTTCCATTTAGGCTCCACATCTAGTCAGTCAAAAAGTTCTGTAAATCCTCCACATTGAAGAGTTCTCCCACTACTGCTTTTAGTGTAAACCTTCATTGCACACATGGGTTATAGCAATAGATATCCCTGCCAACTGTGACGCACCTTTTTGTACCAATTTACTCTGCACAACCTCCCAAGTGATACCTCCCCTTAAAAGTCTCTAATGACACCTTAAGAAATTTTGCTGTCATTTTAAATTCCACACCCCTAGCATGTATCACCATTTCTTCATTTGTCGGTTACCTGTCTGACCTTAGTGAGCACCCTGAATTGCAGCTATGCCAAACTCTGGAATTCTTTCCTTATTTGTTGAATATTTACTCTGCAAACTCTGTACTAGGCATTGCTTATTTAGACATAAGGGGAGAAAACATGATGTACTGAAGCTCACGGGACAGTTAAGCCTGTATAGAAGCGTATATGCAATTGAAAGTGGTGATATGTGCAGTGACAGAAATGAATAGAGGTACCTACTTAGATGTGGAGACATGGCCTTTCAAGACCAGGGAAATCAGAGACAGATTATTCAGAAATATTTGGGCAATGACCCAGCTGCTCCTTAGATAAGGATGTGGCCTCATAAGAAGTTTGATTGAAGGAGAGTGCAACATTTGAAACACTGTTAGAAGTGCCTGTGTTGCTAGTGTATGTTTTTTTAGTATCACCATGGTAGCCCCAGCTTTGAAAGAACAGTAGCAAGACAAGAATCAAGAGTTTCCAGATCTGGTAAAACCCTGCCCTGTGGTCTTTGACTCAGGCACATAACCTGAGTTTTCTTGAGGCCGAAGAAGTGCCTCTAAAATGTTCTGCCTTTACTCAATATGATCACCTTACTTTTGAAAAAAGTTTTTCTTAATTGAATCAGGAATTCACCTTAAGTTTATGGGTCTTTGGATGAATCTTCCCAACAAGACCTAGCCCCACTGGAAATGCTGCAGTTTTGCCAAAATGAGATTGGTGTGAAAACCCTGTCACTATGATTTTGCTTTGGAGGGACTGTTGGGAAACCAAGGAGTGAGCTCTTCTCAGATGGAGACCAGACACCATGTGGCAAGAGACATTTGGGTGGTGAGGGACTCTAAGAGCAAACCGTAATAGCAAGATTTGTGCTCAATTCCTGACTTTTTTTTTTTTTAAAGGAAGCAGTTTTTTTTTTTTTTTTTTTTTTAAGATTTATTTATTCATGCATACAAGAACCAGGGTACAGACCACATGCGCGGGAGGGTGAGAGGATTCACCAGAGGCAGAGCGGGGAGCAGAACAGGCAGCCTGATGAAATGCAGGTTTAGATGTTTAGATGTGTTGTTTAGGTGTGTTGTTTAGACATGTGTTTAGATGTGTTCTTGCTCATCATGAATCCCCA